AGAAGTCATTATTTTCTAGCTCCGCCTATAACAGAGTAGGATTGAAAATGATTCTATGTGTAACCTTGAACTGTATATGTGTGTGCACCTCTGTCCAATTTATTGCAGCATGTTGCAGTGGTAAACAAAAACAGTCAATAATTAATTCACAGATCAGGTTGGAAGTTGAACTATTCATCGACAAGTTCATGATCAAATTCCACTTACACTGAAATACATAGTTGTCACATGGTAACTATTTATTCTAGATAATTATACTTGTTGATGCAAGGGGATTTTGCAATGAGTCTAGGTAATGTGAAAATAAGGCAACAATAAAATTTTCTGCACAAACGGATACCATCTAAGACTGAACATTTGTATTTTTTTATTAAACTAAACATTTTACGAACTTGGCTAATAAGGTCGTAGTATTTACATTATTAATAGGGGAGACCGCGTATGGATGTCTCACGGGTTGGTTGTCACAGCGGCCATATTGAAAAATTGAATGAACGAAAGAGTTTATCGAACAAAATCGAAGGAACGCGAGAGCAAGTAACATCACTTTAGTTCACGCGCATACTGTGTGAGGGAGATACGTTAGTTAGATAGATTAGTTTTTTTTCGGACGGCAAAAGTAAATTTTTGTGCATTTGTGTCGAATCTCATAAAAATACTAGAATTTTCCGTAGATCTATATCATTTCATGTATTTTTGATTAGACATATGTGGTTCACTATCCGTTTTTATGAATGTATATGGATTCAGAGTTATTTCAGGGGGTTGGTTATATTTTGAAATGTGTTTTGGGGCTGGTTGTCTCAACTTGATAGGGGCTGGTAGTCACATGTCACAACCAACACCATACATGTGTGCTGCATTTTTTGTTGGCCTCTTGAGCTTCTGCTACATACAATTTTGTTTGTTTTAGAAAAAATCGTAGAAATGACATGGCATCGTATGAGAAAGTCTGATCTACTAGTATTACACGCACTGATACTGCATGCTGCAAAAAAAGTGATTTTGGGATTAATTATTATCGCACTCTGACATGATTTTGTAAAAAATTCACTGTCGAAGAGATAATCAACACGATGTTATCAATACCATCAACAAAAATTGGTTATCAAAGGTGTAGGCAAATCTTCACCGACAAATAATAGAAGAATGAATTAAAAAGATATGTACTTATGGCTTCAAGTATTTATTTCGGTTCGTCTCCCAAGGATATTCGAAAAAAAGCGTTACATTTACCAGGTTACATTTGCCATATCAGGCTACCAGGTTACATTTACCATACTTGTGATTTCGAATATTCACTGAATTTTAGACTGACTAAATATAATTTCGATGGATGGGTATTTTTAGTTAACAAGCATTGCGGCCTGATGGATATTTTCGGTAAATTACTTACCACAAGAAAGTTATTTATTTGGAGCAAATATGTTTTCAACGAAACTACAGTTACATAAAAGAATGAAGGAGTATTTGTTACGTCTTACAGATATCAGTGGATCTATTTTGAAAATTCGTATGTCAGATAATTGATATTGCTAAATGACATTGTCCTTAAAATGGACAGAGACTGGCGTTTTATGATCCAAATTCTTAAACCTATGCAACAAAAACAACCGCTCTTGTCACACATTCTAAAGCAGAGATTCATATTTATTAATAGTACACATCTGGCTTTAGACGAATATTCCCAGTGAGATGAGCCAAGATTCTCTACAAAAGGGCTCCGATTTCGAATTGGCATGCAAAAGCGCATATATATTCTTAATTATACATATCACATTATTTATTGCTGAATATTGCTAAAATAACTGTGTTTAAGGCTTTGTGTACAACTATGCAGAATTTTGAACCTGAACTCATTGATATTATTTTGACTAAAAATAAACGCTTAATTTCACTGTTTGGAAGTATTTGACAATGTTAGTTGGTGAATGTTACAGGTTCGGACTTGCATTGCTTTAAAAGGTTTTTAATAGATTCGAAACAAAAAAATAAATTAAATATGAATGATGTATTGAAAATATTCCAATTACTTGAAATAACACCACCTGATATTCGGATGAGTCAGAAAGAACTAAGAAAATTGAGAAAAAAACAGTTAAAATGAATTCCAAAACTAACAGAACTTTAGTTTGTAAAAAAAACAAATTAATGTGACCTGAAATGAGAATGAATGGATGGATTGGTTTGAACATAAATGAAATGACAATTATGTGTAAAATACATGGATAAAAAATTAATGAATAAAAAATAATGGAGATAAATGATGACAGAGTTCCAAAAAGTGAAAAATGAGAATGATTTCAAATCAAATAAAATAATACACCACATTTTGATCATCGGTATCCACAGTTAGAACGTCGTGAAGTAACTTAATCTATAATCTTTTTTTCATTTTTAACTTTTTTGCATTTTTTTCATCATGTATCTTTTAGCAGTCGATCCTTTCCTGATGAAACCACCTTGGCTGGTGAAATGTACCTAAGAGTCTGATTTTTTGGTGTGTGAGCAGTGGTTGTGTTACATTCAACTTTTTTTCAACTCACAACTATAAATATAAAAAAACGAAACCAAATTATCGATAATTTCTGTTCTATTTGATTTTCCTTCCAAGCACAATACGTCAATATTGTTGATATACAGATTTAATATACTGCCAACTTGACTTCTTTGATAACAAATTGTAGGTAAGTTTTGAAATAATTCACAGTGTTACAGTGTTTGCTGTGTGAGATATTTTGTCATGTTATGTGAGATACGATACGAACATATAGAAGTTTGGCAGACAAAAATTGCAATTTTAATTTGAAATTCGCGCCAAAAAACACTGGTCAGTGTCATGGCTTCTGATCATGACGTCACGTCAGCACAGAATTAACTATTCTGTGTGAACAGTTAAGAATTATATACTGCTTCAATTTAAGAATTTTGTGACAACGAATTCTCAAGCTACAAGAATAGGTCCCTCTCGTTAAAAAAAATTGATTTAGTTTTTTCGATTATTTTATATAATGTTGTACAGATCCACGTACCTCACCTGTCCCGGCATTGCAGACCTGATATAATGTTCTTATCAACATTTGGTGGGTTTCGAAACATTTCTTTGTTTTTTCCAGAAGTTTCAGTGTGCGTATAAGTGGAGTTTTTCAAACTGCTGATTCATTTGATTGGATAGAACTGGCCGATACTTGATGAACATTCATATTGAAACTCATTAATAGAGTTTATCGTATGATTTTCACTATAAAGGGTTTTCATTATAAAGGGTTTTACGCTATACAATAGCTTCATCAAGCGTCGAGAAAGCTATTGTATAGCAAAACACGCGTGGCGGATATTGTAAAACCCTTTATAGTGAAAATCATACAATTAACTCTATTAATGAGTATTACTGATTCATTTGTTTAAGATTCACATAAAATATCAATAGGAAATAAGAAAAGATCCAAGGAGATCAAATATCTGTGATTCCAAATTCCCCAATTTTTTTCTGTAAAGATAACTTTGATGTTAGTTTTCATTTTGATGAAACATTAGTTATGTTTTCGTGTAACTGTTAATGCCACTCCCTGTAGCTTTTCATGGACACAGTGTTCCAGGCAGATTTTGCCTGGAATACACAGAAACGTTTAAGTTGTGATGATAAAATGAAGAAATAAATATGTGAATCTCCTTTATGAATTTAGCATATTTTGAAATGCATATTTCATACTGAAGCCTATTTTACGGATTGCAGTCTTGATACCTGATAGGTAATGTGAATTCTGCTGAACAGAGGCCTCCTAGTATTCACAAATCAACTGCAGGCCAATTAGAGCTAGTTGCTATATATTCTTGTTCCATAGTTTCACGGTTCTGTCGTCTGATTTTGGTAACTCTAAATTAGAAATGATATTGTCATCCATGTGATGCACTATTTGGAATAAATCTTACACTAGTAATAAATATTACTGGAGTTTTTTCCCAACACCAAATCGTTGTTATTTTAACACCTCGACACGTGTTTCGATCAACAAATGAGCATCTTCAAGAGGAAGATCAAATCTGATCTTCTTCTTGAAGATGATCACTTGGTAATCGAAACACGTGTCGAGGTGTTAAAATAACGGTTTGATCCAGTAGTAGTTGTCATCCATGTCTATTAATCTAGTTGAAGGTTGGTTGATTCTGTTAAATTGAATAGTCATCCCACTGTGAGTAGCTTAAACCCCTAGACGGCTAGAGTGGTTATTAACATAGCCTATCAAAGGACTCAACGACGGTGACACAAAAAAAAGACCAAGCTAGTCCTAAAATGACTTATCCACCACAACTTACTACATATATCACCTTCATTTCAAAAATACTCCAATAATAACATTGAAAAGAGTTATGCATTCACAGGATGTTTTGTTTCTGGGGCTGGGAGGGGGCAATCATAAAGAATCCAAAATTCATATTTGTTTTGAATACAATTAGTCAAGGACGAAATAATTTATATATAAGTACCTGATACAAAAATCTTTCAAAAATATTTTTTTCGGTAATATCTTCCTCCTCAGAGGAAATTGCTCATCTTTGTCACCCCCTATATACGTCACCGGTTGAACAGGAATCTCAAACATTGAAGCATATCTATACTTTTCTAGTTGTAAGTAGATATTAACTTTTCAGTCTACCCGGTATTATTACCTATTTCCCCGCGCTCTTGATCGATCTAAACATGGCGGTGTGGATGAGAAGTCTTCGTTTTTCATAAGGACATTATTTTGTTAACAGCTTTGAAACAAAAATGGTTCACTTCACTCAATGAAAAGATTTCGAGTGGGACGTTAATAGTTGGTTACAAAGATTATCATGAAGGAGTATATTTTAGTAGAATAAATATTTATATACGACATCTCAAGTTTTGAATTTAAAAGGTCCGTGTAAACCGTTCCACAATAGTAATGTGACCCTTCTATCTGTCCAAGACATACATATGTTCTCGATTCTCCGACTTTACACGAACGACTCCTCATCTGTGAGTAGTTGTGCAGTGATGAATGATAATGTAATTTTATTTGTACAATAATTGAAAAGTACACTGTGTTCAAAGTGGGAAGCGGGCTAAATAAAACCATTAGCTTAGCATTCGTGTGCGTTTAACGAGTAAAGGAAGCGAGTTGTAAAGAAAGCGAGTTAGCCTAGGTTATGTGTAGAGACTGTTGAGTGAATTTCAAAATATCGTGTAACAATTATAGTGGAAGAAATTTCTACACGCTTCATTTTTAATTGAGGAGGATTTTTATTGAAACAAAAGTGAGTAATTTATTTTTCTTGAATGATCTGTTCGTACATCATGTGACTAATGAATTAGGTTTGATATTTTGAACTTTCACGTGCGTGTGTGCAGACGGGGTCGAATCCAACTGATCATAATTTATAATTTTCTGATTGGTCAGTATTCTTAGTAATGAAAACGAAAGGAAATAAGTGTCAGCCGATTTTAGGTAGATCGTAGGGTCTAATAGGTAAGTATCTGCAGTGGGGAGAATAAATATTGCAGTCAAATAATTTTAATAGGTATTGGTATTAGTATGGAACTATTTGAAATAATGTAAAAGAATTGTATATTGTACTGTCTGATTTTATGGAACGCTCTACCCACATATAGGTATGATAATTTTGTTTGATATCGATAAAAAATGTAATCGATCAATTTTTTAGGTCATATATAGGTAATACATGGCATGCTTTCTTCATATATTTACTCAAAGATAAAGAAACTACGTACATTAAGACTTACTGCTCCCATATTCATGATAAAACGTTTTGAATCTGATGAAAGTATCTGGTTGATTACCCTTATTATCTTTTATCACCAAATACCGAAATGAGTATTTTTTTTCTCTGAATTATTTTTATGTCATTCAAATTTTCAAGAATCAAGTACTACCTAGACAGAAAGGGTTCTAGCCTCATTTGGTAGTAGATTCTAGGATCAGCAGTAACGTATTCAGGATGTGGGGGACTGTTACATATGAAGAAACACAATATTAAGAACCTGAGGGGCGCATTCAATTGTAGATGAACTGATAATTTTCTCTGTTGTATATCTCAAATAACGGCTTACATTACAAGAAATCTCACCAATTGAAAAATAATTTTCAAGTTAGACAAAGACTGCATCAAATTTTGTGTAAAAAATGGAATTAAGTGCTCAAAAACACTTGAATTTTTGACAGTGATTGTAGGTACCTACTCTTGAGTCAGAAAAATGTTCACAAGTGGTACAAGCTTTTCATTGAAGGGCGATAAGATGTGAATGACCGATGAAAATGTTGAGAAAGTGAATAAAATTGTTATGGATAATCTTCGAATCAATATTAGAGAAGTTGCTGAGGGTGTCGACATATCGGTTGGCTCATATGCCATGCAAATGCTGGAAATTTTCGGCATGAAGCGTGTGGAAGCAAAGTTCATTCCAAAATTGCTGAATTTTGACCAAGAATAGCGTCGCTTGAGCATTGCTCAGGGATTGCCTAGGTTTTGATAGCCAGGAAATACAACTACATTTCAAATATAGATAATACTAATGTTTTTTATATTACTGTTATAGCAACTAAGTATATATTAACTATTAGAAGTTATAATGAAACCTTGATGAATTTAATGACTTGTATACGTAAATAGGATGTGATAAAATATCAATTAGAAATCGATTAGTACGCTTATCAGTACACTTCCTATGTAGTGAAAACTTATTCATATTATAAGTACTTAACTCATTATTTTCCGATAGACTGTTCAACACATGCAAAAATTTCACTTCCTATGGATTCTTTAATGAAGCGCAATATATTCTGATCATATACCTCATTCAACAAAGTAATTCAGGTAGCATACTAGATTACTTTCGCCTTCTTAATCGCTGTTGAGCTTACAATGTCTGTTTTTGATTTATTTCCTATAGAAAGTCTATTTACGCATTTATCACGAGTGGTATTTTGCCAAATAAATTTTTAGAAGTAGAGTTTTCACCCATTCAGGGTAGAGGGGTGAGAGGTTGAAAAATCAGTCATTTTTCTTTTGTCAATAATTGTATAGACTTTGTCCGTTACTTTTGAAGAAAACCGTACATAAAATTCTTTCATTCGGGTCTCTTACTTTTCATTTTCATGAGTGATTGTGCGATTCCCAAAAAAAAATCCCGTCAAGTGCTATTACGCTCTACGCTATTACGTCTCACAAAAAGCATATTGATTTTTTACTCCGGTAATGGCCTCAATATATATTTGCGTCATAAGAAAACGTGTGCCAACCTTGTAGTACAATATTCACTAAATCATTAGTGTCAATTACATTCAGACACGTTTCTATAAATGCACCAACACGTGACTCAGAAAATACAGATGATATAGGGTCTTCCAACATGGACTTGCGAACTTTGATAATTGAGAACGGCCATCTTATTCTGTCAAATGAGTTATCATTTATTCAGTCTGTTTTGTCAAATTACCATGGACGAATATAACATTCAACAAACACGTGCAAATAATTATATTGTTTCATCAAAATGCCCATTTTACGGTCACCATAATCGTCCTACCGAGAGGACTATTTCCAATGTGGTGGATGAATTTGAGTCCACTGGTTCAGTAAACGTTCGCCCAACACCCGTACGTCAACGAAACGCAAGATAGGCCGAATCACACGTTAAAAGGTAAGACTTCGTTAGTCCTTAGCTCGCACAAGTTTCTCAACTTCTGAGAGTTGTCGTTCGTTTGGGGTACCAACTGATTAACGGAAAAACATATTTTTTTAAAACAGAAACATCGCCGCTGTCTGTGAGATTGTGCAGGAGAATCTGAGGCAGTCGATTTCGTGTCGCTCATAAGAACTCGGCCGCAGAACACAACTTGGCGAAATCTGCGTCGTGACTGACACAGGAACTACTTAAACGATCATAGACAACGATGTGACCGATTTGAAGAAAAATGAATGTGTGTTCACAGTTTGTTTTGGAATTTCTGTAGAAGGTTTAGTTATTTTTTCGCCGAGTTGTTTTCCCACATTCACAAAAAACTATTGAACAGTTCTGCTTCTGGTGTGTCATCTTTCGTTATTTTTCCACTTTCCCCTAGTATTTCTTTCATTGTAGTATCTTTTTCAAGTCTGTTGATGTTGTTGAGTATTTCCTACAGTTTTTTTGGAATGTTTTGGCTGTTTTGTATTTCATTCTGATGGAACCTCAGCTTTGTCGATTTTATTAGTTTGTTCGTATTTGCCCTGTATTCTATGTATTTCTTTCTTTTCGTGGGGTTATGTATATCTTCTTTGTATTCTCGATGTAATGTGCTTTTATGATTAATCGAAATGACAAGTCCTTCTGTGATCCAATTATTTCTTTTAGTTTCTTGTCTTCCTATTTGTTTGCTCTGCGTATTCTGTTTTACCATTCTGCTAATAGTCTCAGTTAAATAATCCGCTTGCCCGTCAGTAGTTTGTAGATTGGGGTAATAGGCTATCTATAGTAAGAATACTATGATAACGAATGTGCTGTGAAATGGCAGATCTATACAGTAAATTGACAAATTTATGTCATGAAATAGATAAGTAAATTCCTCTTCTTTATTCGGTACAATACCGAATATAGAAGAAAACTTTTACAATACCCAATTAGTTTTTAATAAAATATTCCTTTATCAACTCTGGAATTTATGTATGCAAAGCCTGAAATTGTGCGGCAATTACTGATTGAATAATTTATCCTGATAGTAATTATCTCTACATAAACAAGTTATTTATGGACCATTAGCCGCTAGCTATCTTCATCATTGAATTGTAAATCTTGGAAATATTTTTAATTGCTCAGATTTTTCACTTGCGAAAGATATACTTTCATGAAGAGCTCTCAAAATTTATGGATAATTTTGTTTATACATTCTTTTATATTTTGCAATACCTTCAACCACGTTCGTCATCACGTCTTGTGAGAGTGATTAAGTAAACCTAAAGAAATCAGCTTTCTGTGATGAATAATATTGAAAAAAGTTCTGAAAATCACTGGTTGTACATGTACACTACTGGCAAACGCGATTTTTCAATTGAAATTTGAAGCATGGTTTGAAATTGATAATCATTTTTGAAAATCATGTAACAATAATTATATTTTTGATTTTTAATTTGTCATGCTTGATTCATATATACACAAAAATTCGAATCCTACTTTGATGTTTATGGATTCGATTAAAAAAAGATGGCATCACTCACCAGTCATGATATAAATAATAACAATTGAATTGTGATTGAAGAAAAGGTTGATCAGAAAATAAAAAAAATCACGTTCAACACAGAAATGTATTAATACACTCAAAAAAATTCCGTTCATGAAATCAGTAACTTTGCGTTTATGACCAGAATAAAAATATTTTTGAGATTTCATTAATTTATTTGGTGCATCAACATTTACCAGTTATGATCTAAATGAAATATTGTTTACTGCTATCATGAAAACAGCTTTTCGAATAAATGAATATATTGTTTGAGATAATAAATACATTTATGCCCAAAGATTCATTGTATTTCTGAGAATATTCATGAATTAAACAACATACTGAAAACTCCAGCTGATTCGACGAACATTACTGATAGTAATAAACCTAGAAATTTTGTGAACTACATAACCATTCTGTATTGATTTCAGATAGTAAAAATTTTACAATACTGTGGTGTAATCATGGATACTTCTTTCCAACTAGTCTGACAGTGACTTGAAAAGAAAACAAGAAAAGTAGCACTGAATACATCGTTAGTGACTCTCAAGAGAGTTTTTATACGTTGGAAATTCATTTCAACAAATAGAAAATCACAAAATTTTTTGAAAACTTCCAAAAAAGCCATCCAGCCGTTCATTTATGCAGTTGGTCCAGATCTACTTCACATTCGAGATATTGGTGATCCAAAATTTTATATCAGTGTTAAAGAATCATTTTTTTTACTGAAGTACTTGCATTTCATGTAGAAAATTTACTTGCTTTCAACCTCTTCATTTTCTTAGTAGATTGTGTTTCTGAGAGTCTCTATATTTTTAATACAACAGCTGCATGTATTCAGTTAGTATTGAAGAAAATTTTCAGTAAAAAATATTTTTTGATATTGACTTTCATTATAAAAATTTCTCCAATTTTATGACATTGAATTTTTTTCGTACTGAACATTAACCTAATTGATGAATAGCATAAATCGGTTTATAGTAACAATGATAGCTGCGTTACTGTTTTCACAAATCTATCTCCATGGACCAATTCTCATTAGAA